TGATTAGTGATGTCTGGCACAGACGTGGCAGCAGACACAGGGTGGAGAGTGACTTAGTGTCCTCTGGACATCTTGTCTGGGTTTTCCACACTGTTTCTTGGGAGTGGGCAAAAATACCCAGCCACTCTGTCTTGTCTGGCTTTTAACTTTCAAGCAGTTGTTTTGCAGAGAATCGGGGAGAGATCACGTGCGGGGTGGATTCTCCCTCAGACCCTCAGGGGCCCTGCAGGGAACAGGAGCCTGGACACGGGGTGGGGCTGGGAGGACCCCTGTCCTCCTCCAGGCTATAAAGCCCCCGGGAAGGGCCTCCCAGAGCGGCCAGGGGGGATCCTGCTACGCAGCTTCGGGCTGCAGCTGCCTGTCCCTTACTGTCCCTACCTCAAACCTCGGGAGGCTCCACTCACAAATGGGCACCACCCAGGGGAGAAGCCTCTACGCCACGGTCACCAGGGCTGGGCAGCTGCCTCCTGGTGCCCCCCACAGTGCCCAGCACCAGTGCCCACAGCATGGGCAGGAAGCAGCCAGGGCCCTGGGCAGGAGCGAGCGGCCAGGCAGAGACCTCTCCAGGGCACAGGACAGTGACACCAGGCCTTCCCGCGGGAAAGCCAGATGAGCACAGCAGAATGAGTGGGCGGAACAGCGCTGGCCACAGGAGCTGGGGAACCCACCACATTGACTCTGACCCCAACTTCCCCGGGGGGGAGCCGGGGACCCTTCCGCGGGTATCCACTGTGATGTCCACATCAGGGCTGCCCAGGAAAGCAAGACCGGGAAGAATCAACCAAGGAGGCCCACGGTGGTCACCTGGGCTGGACACGGCCAGGCTGGAGCCACCGGACGCCATCTTGGAGCAGTCCGCCTGTCGGGCTGCATGGCGTTGACGCCAACACCCCAGACAGCAGCTCCTGTTCACTGAACTGCCCTGTGCCCTGCGGCAGGGAAGCCCTGGCCGTTCACCCCTCCCTCCGCAGCCTGCGAGGCGGCGATACGGGGCCACGGAGGAAGCAGCGAGGCTCATAGGGGATGAGGGCCTCTCCAGGTGCCACCAAGGATGGGCAGGCAGGATCATGGGCTCACCCTGCCCAGTGGGGCCGGCAGCAGTCCTAAGCCCAGACCTGCCTACTCCCCACGTTTCCAGTGCCACTCCTCAGAAAACGAAGGGAGCCCAGAGAGTGGCCCTCACCCCAGGAGGATCCAGGACACCA